CTCCAGCGGGAAGGTAACGGCACTCCATGTAGGCATGCCGGCCACATGACCTTGGAGGTGTCTATGGACAACATTGACTTGGAAACATGCAAATGTGAGTAGATCAATAGGTACCGCTCCAGCGGGAAGGTAACAGCACTCCATGTAGGCATGCCGGCCACATGACCTTGGAGGTGTCTATGGACAACGCTGGCTCTTCAGCCTAGAAATGGAGGTGACCACCACACCCCAGAGTCGGACACGACTGGACTTAATGTCAGGGGACGACCTTTACCTTTACCTATGGCCATGTTCCAGTCTAGGAAACCTAGACTTGCAAAAGACCCAAAGGGCCATCCAGCCCAAACCTCTTCTACCAAGCATGAAGACACAATCAAAGCCCTCCCAACAGATGGCCATCCATCCCTTGCTTACAACATATAATAACAACATATACGGTAATAATAATTGCACTGTGGAATCATAGACTTGCAAAAGACCCAAAAGGCCATTCAGTAACCAACCCCTTTCTATCAGGCAGGAAGACACAGCCAAAGCATTCCTGACAGATGGCCGTCCAGCCCCTGAATAGTAATAACAACAACAATAATCATCATCATCCCCATCATACCCGAACCCTAGAGTTGGAAGGGACCCCACTACCATCCAGTCCAAAACTTTTCTGCCAGGCAGGAAAAGCACACTCAAAGCCTTCCCGACAGATGGCCATCCAGCCCCTGAATAGTAATAGTAACAACAATAATAATTATCATCACCATCATACCCGAACCCTAGAGTTGGAAGGGAACCCCCTAACATCCAGTCCAAAACTTTTCTGCCAGGCAGGAAAAGCACACCCAAAGCCCTCCCGACAGATGGCCACCCAGCCTCCTCCTCACTCCGAGGGTATGGATTCACAAAATATCCTCCTCTATTTCGGTACCTCTTTGAAGGAAGCCATCTGTTTCTGTATCCTGTTCACAAAGCGCCACTGGATCACAAGGCTGCAAAAATGGAAGAAGGAATTCAATTGTAAATACAGTAAAGAGCCAGATTTCAGACAAAGCGGGTTTCCCGGAGAGCGGTGCCAGGACGCAGGGCGCGGGAGCACTTACTGGATGTATTCCTGCTTGTTGGCGTTGGTGACCACCTCCTCGGAGCCTCCGCTCTTCAAGTCGTGCTGGTGCGTCTGAGGGGAACGGGACGAAGGTGCACTGAGCGCATGGCCACGCAATTGGGCTGAACTCACAACATGAGCTGAGCCCCCATGGATTCCCTCCCCGAAGGCCCCACAAGGCAACAGACCTGGCCAAATAGCTCTTCGTCCACCGTGAACCGGAGGTCCAGCTCCGCAGGGTCGTTTTCAAGGATCCACATCAGGGAACTGTAGTATTCACTGTCCTGGAGTTTAATAGGAATTTATTTATTTATTTAGGGCGGATTACAGTGTACACATATATATGGCAAACATTCAATGCCAATTTTTGACATACAAACATATACAGACATACACAGAGGCTATTTAACTTTTTCTGGCCTCTTTCAACGTCCATCTGCGACGCTGATGAAGCACTTCCGCATTCCCCGCATGCTTCCCCGCACTTCCGCATTCCACGCATGCTTCCCCGCACTTCCGCATTCCCCGCATGCTTCACCGCACTTCCGCATTCCCCGCATGCTTCCCCACACTTCCGCATTCCCCGCACTTCTGCATTCCCCGCATGCTTCCCCGCTGGAGTGCTTTTGCTGGAGTCTTCTTTATGGCCTCATAAATCAGTTAATTTAGGCTCCCCACACTTTAAGGTGGTACCTAATATTCCTATTTGACAGATGCAACTGTCTTTTGGGTTGCAAAGGTCAACAACAGGCCACACACAATTGGTTGGAAACCCACTCCAACCCAGGTTGGCTTCGAACTCATGACCTTTTTGGTCAGAGTGATCTTAATGCAGCTGACACTCAGCCAGCTGCGCCACAAGGAAGGAAGGAAGGAAGGAAGGAAGGAAGGAAGGGACAAGGAGGAGGAAAGGTGGAAGGAAGGATGGAAGGAAGGAATGAGAGAGAAGGAAGGAGAAAGGAGAGGCAAGGAGGGAGAAAAGGAAGGAAGAAAAGGAGGAAGACAGGCAAAAAGGAGAGAGGAAAGGAGGGAGAAAGAAGAAAGAGGAAATGAAGGAAGGAAGGCAAGCATAAAGGAGAGGAAAGGAGACAAAGGAGGGAGAGAGATGAAAGGAAGGAAGGCAAGCATAAAGAAGGAGAAATGAAGGAAGAATGAAGGAGGAGGAAAGGAAGGAAAGAAAACATAAAGGAGGAGGGAGGAAAGGAGAGAAACAGAAAAAGGAGGAGGATAAGAAGGAGAAAAAGGAAAGGGAAAGAGGGAGGGAAAAAAGGAAGAAAAGGAAGGAAGGAAGGAGGGAAGGAAGGAAGGAGGGAGAGAAGGAGGAAGGAAGGACGGAAGGGAAGGACAAGGAGGAGGAAAGGTGGAAAGGATGGAAGGAATAAGAGAGAAGGAAGGAGAAAGGAAAAGGAAGGAGGGAGAAAGGAAGAAAGAAAAGGAGGAAGAGAAGGAAAAAGAAGGAGAAAGGAGAGGAAAGGAGGGAGAAAGAGGAAGGAGGAGGAAAGGAAAGAAGGCACGCATAAAAAGGAGAAATGAGGGAGGAAGAAAGGAGGAAGAAAGGAAGGAAGGAAAGGAAATATAACGGAGGAGAGAGGAATGGAGGGAAAAGAGAAAGGAGGAGGAAAGGAAGGAAGGAAGGAGGGAGGCAATAAGGACAAGGAGAAAAGGAAGAAGGAAGGAGGAAGGAAGGACGGAAGGGAAGGACAAGGAGGAGGAAAGGTGGAAAGAAGGATGGAAGGAATGAGAGAGAAGTAAGGAGAAAGGAGAGGCAAGGAGGGAGAAAAGGAAGAAAAGGAGGAAGACAGGCATAAAGGAGAAAGGAGATGAAAGGAGGGAGAAAGAGGAAGGAGGAGGAAAAGGAAGGCAAGCATAAAGAAGGAGAAATGAAGAATGAAGGAGGAGAAAAGGAAGGAAGGAAAGAAAGAAAACATAAAGGAGGAGAGAGGAAAGGAGGGAAAAAGAAAAAGGAGGAGGATAAGAAGGAGAAAAAGGAAAGGGAGAGAGGGAGGCAGGGAGGGAGGAAAGAGAAGGAGAAAAGGAAGAAGGAAGGAAGTGACAGACAAGGAGGGAAGAAATGAGGAAGGCAAAGAGAAAGAGGAAGGAAGAAAAGGAAAGGGAGGGAGGGAGGGAGAGAAAAAGGACAAGGAGAAAGGAAGAAAGAAAGAAAAGGGGAAAAAGGTGAAATGAGAGGAAAGAAGGGAGAAAGAGAAGGAGGAGGAACAGGTGGAAGGAATGAGAAAGGGAAGGGAAAGAAGAGAAGAAGGAGGGAGAAAAGGAAGGAAGAAAAGGAGGAAGACAGGAAAAGGAAGGAGAAGGAAGGAAAGGAGGGAAAGGGAAGGAGGAGAAAGGAAAGAAGGAAGAAAAGGAGAGAAAGGAGAGAGAGAGAGAAAGGAAGGAAGGAACAAAAGGAGAAATGAAGGGAGGAAAGAAGAGGAGAGGAAAGGGAAAGAAATAACGGAGGAGAGAGGAAAGGAGGGAGAAGAGAAAGGAAGAAGGAAGAAGAAAAGGAAAGGGAGAGAGGGAGGCAGGGAGGGAGGAAAGGAAGAAGGAGAAAAGGAAGAAGGAAGGAAGTGACGGACAAGGAGAGAAGAGAAAGGAAGAAAAGATGGAAAGAAAGGAAGAAAGAGGAAGGAAGGAAGAAAAGGGAGGGGAAGGGAGGGGAAAGGAAAGGAGGAAAGGAGAAAGAAGGAAAGAGGAAAAGAAGGAGAGAAGGAGAGGAAAGAGGGAGAAGAGAAGGAGGAGGAAAGGAAGAAGACGCATAAAAAGGAGAAATGAGGGAGGAAGAAAGGAGGAAGAAAGGAAGGAAGGAAAGGAAATATAACGGAGGAGAGAGGAATGGAGGGAAAAGAGAAAGGAGGAGGAAAGGAAGGAAGGAAGGACAAAGAGAAAAGGAAGAAGGAAAGAAGTGATGGACAAGGAGGAAAGAGAAAGGAAGAAAAGATGGAAGGCAAGGAGAAAGAGGAAGGAAGAAAAAGGAAAGGGAGGGAGGGAGGCAGGGAGGTACAAAGGACAAAGAGAAAAGGAAAAAGGAAGGAAGGAAGTGACGGACAAGGTGGGAAGAAATGACGGAAGGCAAAGAGACAGAGGAAGGAAGAAAAAGGAAAGGGAGGGAGGGAGGGAAAAAGGACAAGGAGGAAAGGAAGAAAGAAGAAGGAAGGAAAAAGAAGGTGAAATGAGAGGAAAGAAGGGAGAAAGGACAAGGAGGAGGAACAGTGGAAGGATGGAAGGAATGAGAGAGAAGGAAGGAGAAATGAGAAGCAAGGAGGGAGAAAAGGAAGGAAGAAAAGGAGGAAGACAGGAGGAAAAGAAAGAAGGAAGGCAGGAAAAAGAAGGTGAAATGAGAGGAAAGAAAGCAAGGAGAAAAAAGACAGGAAGGAGTAAAAAGGGAAGGGAGGGAAGATAGGATAGGGAGGAAGGAAAAAAGGATTTCTTTCTTTCTTTCTTTCTTCTTTTCACTTTTTCCCCATCTATTTCTTTTCTTTCCTGCACTATTCTTATATTTTCATTTTAACCCTATCAACATTTTAAACGATGGTATTATGAAAACTCAAATAAAGATTATTTTAAAAAAGAAAAAAAGGATAAGGAGGAAAGGAGGGAGGAAGAGATGGGAGAAGGAGAAAGAAGAGTTAAGAGGGGAGAAAGAGAGAGCCCCCCACCCAAGCCAGGCCGAGTGAGTACGCACCACGGACTCCATGTCGTGAAGAGTGATGGGCTTCTGCAGCATCATTTTGTAGAAAGGCCGGATGAAGAAACCTTGAGGGAGGAGGAGAGGAAGAAGGAGGGAAGGGTTGGCGAATGCCATTTGGGCATTTGGGGAACCCCACGGCCCGCTCAGCCAAGGCTCGGCACCCACCGTCCAAGAGCTTCCCGTGGAAGACGGCCATGCCGGCCACGCGGCCGATGAACCTGAAGTAGGAGAGGTGGTCCTCGTTGCAGAGGCCGGAGTTGGGGTTGATCTGCAGGGTGTAGTTGTCCCTGGAAGGGAAGGAGGAGGAGACCAGGAGTGAGTTGCGTCCCGTCAAAGATGGACCCACCCACCGGCTCCCGCTCTCACTCACGTGGCCGAATACTCAAAGAGCCCGTAGTAGGGGTTGAACATCTCCTTGGAGAGGAGGAAGAACCACTCCCGGGCCACCCCGCCGTAGTCCAGGCCCTTCTCCCCGTCAAACTCGATCCAAAGCCGGGCCTTGAGCTGCTCGGGCTTCTTCACCGCAGAGATACGCCGGTAGGAGTCCTCAAAGATGGCCGAGCGGTGCAGCTTCATCTCAAACTTACTGGGAACGTCGCTCTGGAAGGGAACGGGCCTTGAGGACTGGTCACCAAAGAAGAGCGGCAAATCCCACATTTAGGTGCAGTCTATTAACACTGCTGAATGTTGACTGTGTTTTGGTGCATGCATGTCATTATAATGGTGTGTTTTGATATATAGGCATGTAAGACAGGTATGTCTTACATGCCCTGCGGAAAGCTGGTAAGTCCCGCAAGGCACGGACTTCAGGTGGCAGAGTGTTCCAGAGCGATGGTGCCACTGCTGTGAAGGCTCTGCGTCTGGTTGCTGTTAGGCACAAGGTCTTGACTCTGGGAATTTCCAACAGATCTTGGTCCTCAGAACGGAGGGATCTCTGGGGTTGGGAGGGGGTGAGGCGGTCCCTCAGGTACATCGGCCCCAGACCATGCAAGGCCTTAAAGGGGAGTCCCATCCCTTTGAAAGTGATCCGGTGCTCAATGGGTAAGATTGGGGTGATGTGGCATTCCCACAAGAAGCCGAGCAGCTGCATTTTGTACCAACTTGAGCTTCCGGATCACCGACAGAGGAAGGCCAATGTAGAGGGCGTTACAGTAGTCCAGTCTTGAGATGACCGTGGCCTGGATCACCGTAACGAGGTCGTCCCAGGACAGGGAGGGGGCCAGCCGTCTAGCCTGCCGCAGGTGAAAGAAAGAAGGTGGTTCTGCTCACGGCGGAGAGAGACCTGGGCCTCCATCGTCAGCAGAGGGTCCAAAAGGACTCCCAGACTCTTGACCAATGAGGACGGGCATAGCGCCTCGCCATCCAGGGTAGGCAGCTGGATGTCCCCACTGCCCAGTCGACCCAGCCATAGGATCTCCATCTTTGCTGGGTTCACCCTCAACCTGCTGGCATGCAGCCATCCAGTCACGGCCTCGAAGCACTGATGGAAACAATCGGGTACAGAGTCCGGCCGGCCTACCATCTTCAGCACCAGCTGAGTGTCATCGGCGTACTGGTCACACTCCAGCCCAAAACCTCGAACCAGCTGAGCAAGTGGTCGCATATAGATGTTAAACAACAGAGGGGAGAGAATGGCCCCCTGAGGAACCCCACAAGAGAGAGAGAGGGGACCTCTCAGAGACCAGGCCTCCCCTCTCCACTCGCTGTCCACGGTTGGGAAGAAAGGAGGATGGCCAGTTTAAAGCTCTCTCCCTGACTCCAGCAAAGGCAAGGCAGTGCGTCAAAAGATGATGGTCGACTGTGTGAAATGCTGCTGTGAGATCCAATAACACAGTGGTTCTCAACCTGGGGGTCGGGACCTCTGAGGGGGTCGCGAGGGGGTGTCAGGGGGGTCGCCAAAGATAATCAGAAAACACCGTATTTTCTGTTGGTCATGGGGGTGCCATATGGGAAGTTTGACCCAATTCTATCATTAGTGGAGTTCAGAATGTTCTTTGTTTGCTTTTGGACTTCCATGAGCTAGAGGTCTGCTCATGGACTTGGATATATAAACCCCTTTTTCCCAGCTCCAGCAGACCTCTGAGGAAGCTTGCCATAGATGCAGGCGAAACGTCAGGAGAAATGCCTCTAGAACATGGCCATATAGCCCGAAAAAAACCCACAAGAACTGAGTGATTCCGGCCATGAAAGCCTTCGACAATACATTGTTCTTTGATGTACGTGAATTATAAATCCCAGCAACTACAACTCCCAAATGTCAAGGTCTATTTTCCCCAGACTCCACCAGTGTTCACATTTGGGCATATTGAGTATTTGTGCCAAGTTTGGTCCAGATTCATCATTGAGTCCACAGTGCTCTCTGGAGGTAGGTGAACTACAACTCCAAAACTCAGGGTCAATGCCCACCAAACCATTCCAGTGTTTTCTGTTGGCATGGGAGTTCTGTGTGCCCAATTTGATTCAACTCCATCACTGGTGGAGTTCAGAATGCTCTTTGATTACAGGCGAACTAAAAATCCCAGCAACTACAACTCCCAAATGACAAACTCAACTTCACCAGTATTCATATTTGGGCGTATTGAATATTTGTGCCAAATTTGTTCCAGTGAATGAAAATACATTCTGCATATTGGATATTTACATTATGATTTATAACAGTAGTAAAATGACTATTATGAAGTAGCAAAGAAAACAATGTTATGGTTGGAGGTCACCACAACATATGGAACTGCATTAAGGGGTCACAGCATTAGGAAGGTTGAGAACCACTGCATAACACAAGCAGTGCCAACCTGCCCTGGTCAAGCTGGCATCGAAGGCGATCCGTGACGGAGACCGGCACAGTCTCTGTCCCATGCCCCGCACGGAAGCCGGACTGGAAGGGATCTACTCCGGCTGTGTCGTCTAACAACTGCTCCACTGCTGCCCTCTCCATCACCTTGCCCAGGAACGAGAGATTCGAAACTGGGCGGTAACTGGAGGGAACCGAAGGATCTAAGTCTGGTTTCTTCAGCAGGGGAGAGAGAGACCACCGCCTCTTTTAAACCCTCTGGAAAAACTCCTTGCTCAAGGGAGCTGTTTATGATCTTCAACAGAGGGTCGCGTAATCCCTCCAAGCAGGATTTCACCAGCCAAGAGGGACACGGATCGAGGGAGCAAGTGGTCGGTCTGGCTGCAGCTATGAGCCTATCGACAGCCCCTGCATCCAGTGGGATGAACCGGTCGAGGATGGGCCCAGCAAGTGGCCACGGGGTCTCAAGTTCTCTCACTGTATCAATTGTGGCGGGGAGGTCCCGGCGAAGTAGCGAGATCTTGTCTGAAAAATAGCTCTGAAAAACCTTGGCTGAAGGGGCCCGATCACCACTTTTTGGGATGGTAGGAACCGTCGTTAGAGATCGAATTATTTTGAACAATTTTGCCAGGCGTGAGCTAGCAGACACTATCAAAGAAGCATAATTTACATGCTTTGCTTCTGTGATAGCATGCTCATAGGACTCCCTAAATGTCTCATAAGCTGATCTCGATGCTCCGTCATGGAGTTCTCGCCACACGCCCTCCAGCCGTCTCTTTTGCCGCTTCATCATTGTCTTGTGGGGTTCCTCAGGGTTCAATCTTGTCTCCTATGTTGTTTAACATCTACATGAAGCCGCTGGGGTAGATCATCCGGAGTTTCGGGGTGCGATGTCATCTGTACGCGGATGATGTCCAACTCCATCACTCCTTCCCACCTTCATCTAAAGAGGCTGTCCAGGTCCTGAACGGGTGCTTGGCCGCTGTGACGGTCTGGATGAGGGCGAACAAATTGAAACTGAATCCAGACAAGACAGAGGTACTCCTGGTCAGTCGCAAGGCCGAACAGGGCATAGGGTTACAGCCTGTGTTGGATGGGGTCGCACTCCCCCTGAAGACGCAGGTTCGCAGCTTGGGTGACCCTGGACTCATCGCTGAGCCTGGAACCCCAGGTTTCGGCGGTGACCAGGGGAGCATTTGCACAGTTAAAACTTGTGCGCCAGCTGCGCCCGTACCTTGGGAAGTCTGACTTGGCCACGGTAGTCCACGCTCTAGTCACATCCCGTATAGACTACTGCAACACTCTCTACATGGGGTTGCCTATGAAGACTGCTCGGAAGTTACAAATGGTCCAACGATCGGCAGCCAGGTTGTTAACAGGAGCGGCACTCAGGGAGCACACCACTCCTCTGCTGCGCCAGCTCCACTGGCTGCCAATTTGCTACCGGGCACAATTCAAAGTGCTGGCTTTAGCCTTTAAAGCCCTAAACGGTTCTGGCCCGACCTACCTGTCCGAACGCATTGCCCCCTACGAACCAGTTAGGACATTAAGTGGTCCACGCTCTTGTCACATCCCGATTGGATTACTGCAACGCACTCTACGTGGGGTTGCCTTTGAAGACTGCTCGGAAACTCCAACTGGTCCAGCGGGAGGCAGCCAGATTGCTCACCGGAGCGACATACAGGGAGCACACCACCCCCCTGTTGTGTCAGCTCCACTGGCTGCCGATCCAATTCCAAGCACAATTCAAAGTGCTGGTCTTGACCTACAAAACCCTATACGGTTCCGGCCCAGTGTATCTGTCCGAATGTATCTGTCCGAACGGATCTCCCTCTACGTCCCACCTCGGAACCTAAGATCTTCTGGGGAGGCCCTGCTCTCGACCCCGCCTTTATCACAAGTGAGATTGGCGGGGACGAGGAGCAGGGCCTTCTCGGTGGTGGCCCCCCACCTGTGGAACTCACTCCCCGGGGAGATTAGATCGGCAACGTCCCTTCTTTCCTTTAGGAAAAAGTTGAAAACCTGGATATGGGACCAGGCATTTGGACATCATGGCAGCTAAAGAAAGACCTGATGACGAGCTGGAATTTGACGAGACGGAACGGATTTACGAAACTCCGAACGCTGAGCTCAGGATTAGTCTACTACTGTGTTACTGTATTGTTGTGTAGTGATGTTTTTAATCTTTAATGTGTAATTGTTTAAATTGCTTATATATGTATGTATATGTGACAAAGGCATCGAATTGTGCCTTCCTCTGTAAGCCGCCCTGAGTCCCCCCCCCCCCCCCCGGGGTGAGAAGGGCGGGATAAAAGTGACGGAAATAAATAAATAAATAAATAAATAAAGATCGTCCAGGGAGGCCCTGCTCTCGATCCCGCCAGCCTCACAAGCACGGCTGGTGGGGACGAGAGACAGGGCCTTCTCAGTGGTGGCCCCCCTGGCTGTGGAACGCCCTTCCTGCAGACATTAGATTGACCCCCTCCTTTACTGGCGTTCAGGAGAAGAGTGAAGACCTGGCTCTTTGAACAGTTTAATTAAGCAGTGCAATTAATTGAGTGATCATGGAACGTGGAATAATGGACGAGGAGATCGGATTATGACTTTACTGATGAGATGTGGTGGATTAGTTATATGGATGTATTGATGTTATATTGATGTATTGATGTATTGTTATATTGATGTAGTTGCCATGGTTACTGTTTTAAATGCTAACGTTGTGCACTTTGTATACTGATTTGGTTGTAAACCGCTCTGAGTCGCCTACGGGCTGAGAGAGAGCGGTATACAAATGAAGTAAATAAATAAATGAATAAATAATTCATCAAAGTTCCTCGGTGAACCAAGGAGACCGATTTCGGCGGGGTTGGAGAGGGCGTCTAGGGGCGACCCTGTCGAGTGCATCGGATAG